CTAATATAAAAACAAAACTATTTTTAAAAGTTTTTTTTTAAGTATTTTTTAAGTTATATATATATATATATATATATATATATATATATATATATATATATATATATATATATATATATATATATAAAATAAAAAAAAAATTATTATTAAGAACCGGCGGTTCTACCGGTTCTAACCGGGAACCGAACCGGAACCGAACCAGAACCGGTTAGGAACCGAACCGCAAGGAATCGGATTTTTTTGGTTCGGTTCCGGTTCCTCCAAAATCGGAACCGGAACCGGCGGTTCGGAACCGGAACCGGAACCGAACCGAACCGTGGTCAGGTCTAGGTGTTGGGCTAATTTCTGACTCTGATGAACCAAGTTGACCAGTTTTGTCCACGGGGTATTCATTATTAGATCTATCTTGGGTGGTAATACAGTAGGGAAAAGAAAAGGGTAATAGTTTTTTTTTTTTGTTAAAAAAAAAAAAAAAAAAGGGATTTGTTATCTCAACGTTCTTATACTCATAATGTTCCCACAGACGGCGCCATTTGATTTAGCCGAATCCCTTGATGTTGTTATGACCACGTTCTTTCTTCATAATGGGCTCTGCAAAATAAGGCCAGAAAAAAAAAGACCGGGTTGATGCCGGAGTTAGCACTCTGACGGCCAAATTAGTAGGTTTCTTTAATATGGAATGCTCTCGCTTAATTAATGAGTTAGAGGGTGTTTGGCTAAGCTTATAAGATGTTAAAAGGAGCTTATAAGATGTTAAAAGGAGCTTATAAGATGTTTTAGAGCTTATAAGCTATTCCAAAGTGTTTGGCATTTTTTTAGAAAAAGATCTTAATTTTTTTTTAAATAAGCTGTTGGAGAGCAAATAAGATCTTTTTAAATAAGTACCTCTACCCCACCTTTTTATTTAAGATCTTTTAATGAGTAAAAATAAGAAATAAGTCCATTATCCAAACACTCTAAAAATTAATCCTAAAAATAAGATGTAACAGCTTATCAGCTCTTAAAACATCTTATCAGACGTAAGAGCTTATCAGCTGTTTAAAATAAGCTTAGCCAAACACCCTCTTATTTATTGATTTATATCCGTCCCTGTGTTTATCTGACCTTTTACTATTTATAGAAAAATGTTCGGACCTCAATCCGGATTTTACTCCAATTTAACATGCTAATCAAATTATTCCGGATTCCAAATAAGTATTCAATTGAGCTTAACTTGTCTCTTCGAGGAACAGTGTTGTGTGCTACATAATCCCAAGACTGCATATTCCCTGACATTCCAGATATGCATTAAATGCGAGGCGGCCATGAAGGGACCTCTCGCATATGAAAAGTCAGACCCCTCCTCGCTGGCGAGGGGGCGTCCTCCTCTCGCCTTTATGTTGGGCCTTGGGCCTTGCGGGAGTCCCCCTTTGGGCCATTGTTGGGCCATCCCCTTAGCGGGCCAAGATATTAAGTTTACCGAATCAAATTCTATACAATATTATATGGGGTTATATGAGATAACCCCCTCATACAATTTTTTTAGAGGTATAAATCCATATTTTTATTTACTATTAGGGATAACCCCTTATTAAGATTAATACCTCATTTACCCTTATTATATTTATAAAAATATAATTAAATTATTATTGCTAAATAACTCCCCTAAAATAACTCTCCTTAAATCTCTCACCAACTCCCCCAAATCTCTCAAATCACGTGTTCGGTTTTTCTCTTGATTCTTTATACAATATTTTTGTAATTTCCATTTAAAAAATATAATTCTTTTTTTTTTCAATTTTCATTTTTTTAATTGGTTTTTTACCGCAAGTTTAACAAAAAATTGAAATCCACTACATACTTATTGAAAACCACTATAAATTCATCTTTTACAATTTTTTTGAAATTTCAATTTAAAAAATATATATATTTTTTTTCAATTTTCATTTTTTTAATTGATTTTTTTTTACCGCAAGTTTAACAAAAAATTGAAATCCACTACATACTCATTGAAAACCACTATCAATTAATCGAGAACAACTATTCGATTAACGTAGAAATCAATATGAAATTATCGTAATCAACTTTAATATTAATATAATGCACTACAAACGTATCGAAATCAAATAAAAATTTACATAATCCACTACGAATTAACGTAATTTATTACAAAATTATCAAAATCCACTACAAAGTTATCAAAATCCACTTTATATGTTAAAGTAATCCACTACAAAATTAACGTAATATATGGATTGAAATCCACTACATACTCATTGAAAACCACTATAAATTTATCGAAAACCACTATTCGATTAACGTAGAAATCAATATGAAATTATCGTAATCAACTTTCATATTAAATACAGTGCACTACAAACGTATCGAAATCGAACATAAATTTACATAATCCACTAAGAATTAACGTAATTCATTACAAAATTATCAAAATCCACTACAAAGTTATCAAAATCCACTTTATAGGTTAAAGTAATTCACTACAAAATTAACGTAATATATGGATTGAAATCCACTAAATACTCAATGAAAACCACTATAAATTCATCGAAAACCACTATTCGATTAACGTAGAAATCAGTATGAAATTATCGTAATCAACTTTCATATTAATATAGTGCACTACAAACGTATCGAAATCGAATATAAATTTACATAATCCACTACGAATTAACGTAATCCATTACAAAATTATCAAAATCCACTACAAAGTTATCAAAATCCATTTAATAGGTTAAAGTAATCCACTACAAAATTAACGTAATATTTGGATTGAAATCCACTACATACTCATTGAAAACCACTATAAATTCATCGAAAACCACTATTCGATTAACGTAGAAATCAGTATGAAATTGAATATAATTTTACATAATCCACTACGAATTAACGTAATCCATTACAAAATTATCAAAATCCACTACAAAGTTATCAAAATCCACTTTAGGTTAAAGTAATCCACTACAAAATTAACGTAATATATGGTTAATCCACTAAAAAAATATCGTAGAAAAACATTTATGCATCAACAACAAACTTATCAAAATTCACTACAAGCTTCCGAATTTATGATAGTGTTGCTCGTGGTTTTCGTTAGGTTAGAGTGACCCGGTGATAAACACTACAAACTTATCATCACCCAACATCGTCTCACTTGCTGTCATCACCCGCTTGTGCAAGAACCTAAACCAAAGAAAAATAAGACAACAGCGTGTCAATTTAATTCATTCACTAAAATTCGGTCTCCAAAGCAAGAATTTAAAATCCACTATAATCTCGCCAAAACCCACTACAAAAATTATCGAAATCCACTAAAATATTAACATAATCCACTACGAAATAAGTTAATCCACTAAAAAATTACAACAACAGTATAATAACAAATATTCAGATAATGACCGAAAACATGAAGGAGCCTCAAAATTATATTGAAAATCTCATATATATAATAGCTCATTGAATAATTCAACTAGTTGTCACTTCTATTTTGCTACCCGTCATATAGAATTTATTTATGGATATAAAGAACTAATGATAGCAAAAAAATAGCAGCAAACCAACATCTTAAAACAGCAGCAAAGCAACACGAAAACAACAGCAAAACAGCAACAAAATCAGCTGCAAATTAGGAGCCAAACAGCAGCAAAGCCAAAAGAAAACAGCAGCAAAAACAGCAGCAAAAAAACAGCAGCAAAAACAGCAGCAAAAAACAGCAGCAAAAAACAGCAGCAAAATAGCATCCAAACAATAGCCAATTGTAGCTAAAAAATACAATAAATAAATTATAATTCTAAATTTTCAGAAAAAAAAATATCCAAAATTTGAAAATATTTTTGGAAATTATGGAATTTTCGATAATATTTAGTGCTTCACCTTATTAATTCGTGTTGTATTTCTTACTAAAAATTATCAAATTTCAAAACCAAAACATGTTTGAAATAAGACATTATAAAATTTCAAAACCAAAACATGTTTGAAATCAGAAGAATTTATATAAAAAAAAATATGAAATCATGGGATGAAAAATCAAAAAACCTAAAGCGACGAAGTATTTTCGCATACCTTATAATCAACAACCGCCGACGAGAAAGAGAACCGCGGGGAACTTACCTATTTGCCGACAAAATATAGAGGGAATGAGACAAATCGTTCTGCGTTTTGGGAAAACATACCAACTTCGTGGGTAAGCGGATCTCATCAGCGAGTGAGAAGACGATTAACAAGATGGACAGATCTGATAGTATGTAACGAGAGGCGGTGATGGTGGTGGGAAAAGAGAGGGGCGGCGGCCGAGGAGGAGAAGGGCGGAGATGGTGTGGTCATCCGGTGAGACGACGAGGTTGTGGAGCAAGATTATGGCGTGATTGTGGAGAGAAGGAAGGAAGAAGATGAAGCGAGGTTGTGGGGCGTGCTGATTGTGGAGAGAAGGAAGGGAGAAGGGGATAAGTGAAGGGACGTGTTTCGGGGTTTGAGTAGGTTAAATTAAGAAAGGGTATAACAGGTTATTAATAATATAATTTGTTTAATAAAATACAATTGGATTTATCTCAAAAAGGAGGAAAAAAAAAAAGGATTTAGTCTAATGATACATTGTATATGAGGGGGTTATCTCAAATAATCCCATATTATATTAACGATGTCATTAATATACATATATGATGTGTATCCAAAAATGAATTACGTTGTATAACAACATAAATGTAATATAGATCCATCTAAGTTACTTATAAAAAGAATAAGATTATATTGAATTGATTTTCCTCTTTTCATCACAATCAATTTCCCCTTCCTTATTTGATCCATATGGAATCGCATTGTATTTTGTGATAAAAAAAAATTATTACTTGTACGACAATGCTGATTGACTTCACACAAATTATATCCATGTGTTTGTAGATATATATGTGAGTCACACTCGACACCTACTTGAGAGGAAACGAGGTACAATTTGAAATCAAAATTACCACAAAAACCAAATCCAAAAAACACGATAAATGCCTGTTCTATGCTGAAAAAAAAATTACTCGCCAATCATTAAAGAAATCAAACTAGAATGATATACGGAAACTGGTTTGGGTAGAGATCTTTGGTGAGCCAATTCACGCAAAGAGATCAATAGAGATGTGAAAATCTATCGTATTAACACGTGTTTTTTACTCCCGCTAGTGAGAGATGTGATTTTTTTTTTAAAATACATATATATATATACATTGTTCATATAGATTTAGTCTTAAAAATCAAATGTTAGGAAAAACTGAATGGACTTGTACCATATGTGCGTGCTCTTTTGGTGTATTTATGTCCTACATTTGAGCTTCCTCCACTCTCCATCTCTTCATTTTTTTATTTTTTATTCGAACTATGTGTTTGTTTCACCTTCTCTCTTTTGTTCACAAAAATGTAACGAAATAATTTTGTATGCCTCTTATTCTTGTGGGTTTGATGAGTTGTGAAATTTCAAGGCGTAAGTGCATTAAATATATAGGCAAGTGAAACCTTTGAAATGAGTTCATAAATGTTAAATTAGGGTCATGAAAGGTAGGAGCTAAATTAGTAAAAACTATTAATTGTTGATACAACGGAAAGTTGACCTATTTTGCCTTTATTTGGTGAGTATATTTTTTTGTGGAATTGCATTCTTTAAAGAGTAAGTTATATTTTTAAGAGTACCATAATATTTTGATGAGTAAGTGATTCAGTTTATATAGTCAAGAAGATGACATGTTTGATTTTTATGAATATTATTAGACTTAAGATATATAAATTAATAAGAAATGACTACAAAAATATGTCAAAATATTGGGCAAAAATTTAGTGAAAATCATGTGAAGCAATATTACTTTTATGTGAGTTGTTACACTTATAATTATTTATTTTTACAAATAAAATGGAATTAATCTCAATTTGTATGCTAATATTTATACGTCGCTCAAATGTTAATATAGATATTATTCAAAAATTCATTAAGTCGGGATAGACTAAGTTAATTACGAAAACTATTTAACTCGTCTTAAAAGCGAATTGTTAAGTTGTATGATAATAAGATTTTAAATAAAGATAATTAATTGCATTTACTTACTTGCAAGTTTTAAATAATTATTTTTTATATTTCTTGAATTCTGAAAGCAAATAAAATATAATATAACATATTTAGGTTATATTTTCATGAGACCAACCATCACGGAGATATTAGCAAAGAAACAGGGCTGGAAATCTCTACAACAACTTTTGCGGGATTGAAAGCTTATATTCGTGTGCCGAAACTAGAAACGGAAAATGCACACAAAAGGATTATCGAAAGTAGAGTAGCAAAGTTTGTAGAAAATTACAATATTTCAAATTTATTAATGAGCTTTATATTAACTTTATATTATATAATGAATATTGTGGCCTAGCTAGCTAGCCTTCATATTATTATTACACATTTTGGTTGGAGCCTGTTTCCCTTTGTCCCTTTCCTTTTCCATTTTGTCAAAGAAATTTCTAAGAATAAAACATAATCAAAATTAAATAATTTTTTATATAGTTCCACGTGGAATGATTGGATGGATATTTAACTTTTGAATTAATTGAGTCAAAAAAAAAATTGAGCTCGTCGTCGTACATCGTTGAATAATATTCCTACCCTGACCGCAGCCGCCCATCACAAAAGACCCCCACAAAATTGTTTTTCTTTTTGGGTAAATTACAAAAAGCTCCCTAAACTTAGTCTGAATTACCAATACTCTCATCTATCCATAATTATTAAAATTCTCTCGACGTTTGTTTCCGTCTTATACCGATCCCCTTATGGTGTCAACTTTCATGGAATCTTTTTTTATTCCAAAGAATATTCTCCAAGAAATACCAATTTTACCCCTACAAATATAGAACAGGTTGAAGGTAACCATGCACAGGTGGTTGTAAAAGGCTTATGTGTACTACGATGGTTCATATTAGCAATTAGAAAAGTGTAGTAACGTTGCAATGTGATATTGCAAAAAATGAGGTTGTTGCAGAAGGTATACGGTTTACGATTCGATTCGATTTCCGATTTGAAATCTTCACAAATCGATTTTCGATTCGATTTATGATTTAACAATCATGGGGCATACCCAAAATCACTAAGAGACTGTTCTTAGAGGTCGAATCAGCATTTTTCAAGAAATATTCTCTCAAATAAAAAAGACTCCGTGAAAATTGCCATAAAGTGATCGGTGTAAGAAGGAAACAAAAATCCGGAAGATTTTGGTAATTACATATATGTGGGGGTATTTTCCGTAATTTACCCTTTTCGTTTTTAATAAGAAAAAGGACCCATGATGGCTCTTTAATAATTAACAAAGTATATATTTAAATACCACTAGTGTACATATTTTATTACTCCCACTACTACTTTATTCAAGGGGATAAGATATCAATTGTTTTCATCTCCTTTTTAAATTTTCAATAATAATGTCACTAATAATTAATTTTTTTATAAATCCATCCCCATATATATATTCCAACTATTCCCCTCATTCCGAACCAACAAAACAAACAAACAAACAAACAAACAAACACTACTGAATATTGCAAGAGAAAAGATGAAAATGGAAGTTGGATCAATCCTGCTGTCAATCCTGGTAGTGGGATTGATAACTTTATCAGCCAAATTTGTGAACTGGGTTTGGATTAAGCCAAAGAAGCTGGAGAAGCTTCTAAGGAAGGAAGGTCTGAATGGCAATCCGTACAAACTACTCCTCGGAGATATGAAACAGTTGATCTCTGTAATGAAAGAAGAACAGCCTAAATCCATCCAATTCTCCGACCACCTTCTGCCCCATATTCTTCCTCATTACCACCATAACAGAACCAAATTCGGTAACTTTTCGACTCTGCAACAAAAGAAATACATATATATATATATATATATATATATATATATATATATATATATATATGTACTTTATATTTGACATTTTTTGTTTAAAAATGACAGGTGAGAATTCGTTTATGTGGGTTGGACCATCGCCGAAGTTGATAATAGCAGATCCACAGCTGATGAAGGAGATTCTCGAAAAACCGAACGTGTTTCAGAAGCCGCACCCCGATCCTATCGGGGAGACGATCGCCGGGGGGCTTGTTGTTCTTGAGGATGAGAAATGGACCAAGCACAGAAGGATTATCAACCCTGCTTTCCATATGGAGAAGCTCAAGGTGAATAATTATACTTTTCGAAAAAGAAACGAACGACCGGTTTTGCACGATCCGTGTTTTTCGAGTGATCGAATTTGAATTTTCGTGTGACTATATATATATATATGTGTGCAGAAAATGGTACCTGCGATTCGGTTGAGTTGTTCCAACATGCTAGACCAATGGGAGGCTTCGTTTGCCGGCAGTGACGAGTCGAAGGAAATCGACGTGTGGCCTTATCTTCAGAATTTATCGGGCGATGTGATTTCTCGTGTGGCGTTTGGCAGCAGCCATGAACAAGGAGTTAGAATATTTGAGCTGCAAAAGGATCAGGTCAAGCTCGCTTTGGAGCTCTTGAAGTTCATGTTCGTTCCGGGATGGAGGTAAAACAATGATTCGAGAAAATCCCCGATGAATTATCTTATCTCGCTTTCGTGTGATTTACATTTTAACTTTTTTTGGGTTAATAGATTTGTGCCGACGAAGGCGAACAGAAGAATGAAAGCAATCTCGAAAGAGATTCAATCATTGTTGAGGGATATAATCAACCAAAGGGAGAAGGCGATTGAAGATGGAGAAGTGATCGGCGAAGACTTGTTAGGCACATTGATGGAATCGAATCTCAGAGAAATCGACGAAAACGGGAGCAAGAAGAATATGGGAATGACTATCGAAGAAGTGATAAACGAATGCAAGCTATTCTACTTTGCAGGCTCCGAAAGCACTTCCGGATTGCTGATGTGGACAATGGTCATGCTCAGCAAAAATCAAGAATGGCAAGCTCGTGCAAGAGAAGAGGTTTTGCAAATTTTCGGAAATAAAGAACCAACTTTCGACGGCCTAAACCGCCTTAAAATTGTAAGACGATCGATCTTCTTACATTCTCACAACGTTAAAATTGAATGCACGAGGTTTTGTCTTAACAAAAAAAAATCTAAACTTTTGCAGGTAACTATGATTCTGAACGAGGTTCTAAGGCTGTACTCACCTGCACCGCTAATATCGCGGGCCCCAGCAAAGGCGGTGAAATTGGGGAACATCAATTTACCGGTGGGGGTAGATTTGTTGCTGCTAATAGGTTTAGTGCATCATGATCCGAAAATATGGGGCGACGATGCGAACGAGTTTAATCCAGAGAGATTCTCTGAAGGGATTTCGGGTGCAACCAAAGGCCAATTTTCGTTCTTACCGTTCAGCTTAGGTCCAAGAATATGCATCGGCCTACAGTTTGCAATGACCGAGGCGAAATTAGCTGTCTCGATGATGTTACAGCGCTTTGCATTCGAGCTGTCACCGTCTTATTTGCACGCTCCGTTCCCGATTCTCACTCTCCAACCTCAGTATGGCGCTCCCCTGATTTTACGTAAACTATAAACAAAGGCTACTATTGTTTTTTTTCTTTGTTTTTTCCTCTATTTTTTTCCGATTTGTTTTATCTGTTATGTACAATTTACGGAGATGCATGTTTTATTAGCTTGTATTATGGACTCGACGAAAATAAACTGTTATATGGTTCAGAATGAAAGGGCATAGCGTCTATTTGAGTAACTTCAAAAAGGCATTAAAAATGTATTACATTTGTCTCTTAATGCCGACCAACTTACCAAAAATGTGATACGGAATATTCTGTACGGTCATCGTAAGGAAATTCAAAGGTGAGGACCAACGAAATACCTTTAACTACAATTGCGAATCTCATCACTCTCATTGTCCCAATGGTCCAAAGTCCCGAGGTGGCCATACCTGCAAGCGAAACAATAACGGTGTAAGTAGATGTTGTTCCATAATAAATGGATACGACTTCTTAAGTAGCTAATATTCGCAGTTCATTTATCGACTTCTGAGTGACTCGGATGTGTTGGACAATAGTTGATTAGTAATCATATATGCTGTTGTCTTTCAAGTATATGGCGCAACCGTTAAACCTTGTAAACGAGACTTAAGTGTTCTTCCAGAATTGCAAAACACGAAGACAATCGTAGATCATACTAGAAAATTTCATCAGAAAAGAAAAAAAAAATCCCATAAGAAGATGAAGTAATCCGATAAATGAACTCGAAAATCATAGAGCAGATGAAACTAATAAAAACGACATACAGCTATAAACTCAATCGAAAGATCTGCTGGACCAAGAAAATAAAGCTGTAACAAGAAATTTAATCAAGAATAAGGCAGCAGGAAGCTTACTCTATAAAAGACTTTGCCCAGAAGCAACCCGTAAGGAATTGGGCCCACGTGTCGTGAATCGTGTGATGCGTACAGATTGTCTCCCTGAATCCACACATGACCCTTCGGCACCTATTATTTGCAAATGTCGTAGTATAAGGATTGTAATATTCGATAATAGGGCATTATTTTGTTTCAACGGAAAGAAACGCAGTGTTAATTTCTTCATCAAAGGGATTGCAACATTAGAACTTCAAGCAGGAGCTGATTAACAATATAGAAGAAAGCAGATCAGATAGCCATTTCAGAGTTACAAAAACACGTTGCCAATGTAACAAGCAACTTAATTTGAAATGCAAGGCAATTAAGAAGGCTAAACACAATTACCAAACTACAATGCCGTAACATTTAATCAGTACACAATTCTACTTCAAATATGCAGCAAGATTAGATATGAAATAGATGCAAAAAGGGCATGCTTAGCTACTCAAATGCGAGACTGCCGATTATAAGCACATACAAGATATAATTTTGGAAAGAGGGGCAACACTCAAATGTGAGACTGCCGGTTATAATGCACAAACGGGATAGAATTGCTGCAAAGCCATCATTGACTTACATGTAAACAATGGAAGAACAAAAACTACGTTGGCCTTGTAAGTTTCCGTACAACTGTTATGCTAAAAATCCTCTCACAAACACTTAAGAAGTTTAACAAAGAGCATTACAACCGGCAATGCCTACAAAGCACCAAAAGATTATTCAAGAACAAAACTCGGTGAAATGTTTAGATATAACATAACCGAACATTACAATTATAAATGCAGATTTGAGGCCAATACATTGCAATTGAAGAAAGCTGATGTATAATCAACCAATGCCTCGTTTGGTTGTCAAGATAAGATTAAATAATCTAATGAAAATCCAATTATTTTATCGGATCCTTTGACGCCCAACAAAAAAGCTCCCTCAAAGGTAAGATAAGGCAAGATAACATAATATTTGTCGGTCGAACCCGACAAGTTATTGGGAATACCAAACATCAAACAACGTCCAATTATTTAGTTAATCATGGCTAATCTCCCCAACTAAACGAGGCCCAAGCATATAGTAATGACATTAAACAACAACAAGAACTAAAACAAGTATGATTAACAAATAACAAATGAACCACTACTATTAAAAATCATTCACCATAATCATATACGTACCACTAATGAATGAGAGCGGTCACTGCGGGCCGGATCCACTAAAAAAGTGACGGTATCGCCCTCCAAACCAATTACCCGCTTCGTTATAGTCTTCCTAGGGTTCTCCGGCGACCGCACCAAAACGACGTCGCCCGGTGCCACCTTCCCCAGCAAAGTCGACATCTTTTCGACAAGCAAAACGTCGCCGGTGAAATTCAATGTCGGTAGCATGCTCGGCCCGTAAACCTTCATCGAATTAAACATCGCTGCTACTAATTAAGCAGAATTTCGCTGGACAATTGAAGAAATAAAGGAAAAAAAAAAACAGAAGAAAGCTTACTAGGGTTGGGGAGCAGATGTAGTTTTCGGTGAGGTGCAAAAGTGAGAAGAATTGAGCTAAGACAATGGTGTGGCCGAGCATTTCTTTGGCTGTGGATTTCCATTGTCGTGCGAATTGCAGAAGCTTTGCAGTTGTCGTCATCGTCGCAACGCCGTTCCCATTTACGGCGCCGACGGCCACACTCGAATCGTCGGCGGTTCTCGGAATGTACGGAATAATTAAGATTTGCGGATTTAGTAGTTAATTAATTTTCTTGGATAATTGGAAGATTGAATTTGCAGGCCCGAATCTAAAAGTAGTCTTTTTTCTTCTATTTTCGTTTTCTTTTTATTGCATATGAATTAAATGATTTTGAATTCGATGACAATATTTCAAAGTAATATTATAAAGAAATAAAAAATAAAAAATACTCCATGTTAAATGTATTTTAAATCTATTATAATCATCATTAAATCGAGATTTTGCCTTATTTATTCTTTTTAGTTTTTATAATCGTATGGTCTTGAAAAGAGTTATAGCTTTCTTGTTGCGCTAATTTTTTTTTTTTTTTTGTGTGAATTTATAATTTAGATTGTGTACCGAATGTGTGGTAATTGTATAAGAAAATGAATATGTAATAGAAATAATTTGATGGTCATATTGAACATAGAAAATCCAGTTTAATGAATTATATTTGGATACGACGGTGGAGATGTAGACAAAAAATTAGTGGACTTAGAGACCTAAATTGCTTCATGTAGCTACACTAACAGTATACTCTTAAGAGAAACGTTCTTGGTGAGGAAAGAATAATGTGAACGAAAGATCCCACTAAATTGAATTGAGTCCATGAATTAAAGATTTAGTGAGAATTCTCGATCTCTATCAATTTCAAAATTCAAGATTTAAATTAATGTTCTATCATTGGTTCCTCCTGAATCACATTGATTTATCCTCAAGATTTCATTCCAATGTCGTCATTTGGTTATTTAACAGATACGAAGATCCCCGCTAAGAATTATGGTTGTTGGATTGAAGTTGTGTACTAACTTTCTTCATGTTGACGGTTGTCCACAGTAGGTTAAATAAATTGAATTAAAATGTAGCATCAAATTGCCTCCGTAGCATAGTGGTATTGCGTTCGCTTCGTAAGCGAAAGGCCGCGAGTTCGATCCTCGCCGGGGGCTAATCTAGTTATCTATTAAATTTTTAATTAAGTTTTTATGTGTGATATTTTTATATAGGAAGCCAAAAACAGATTTATATTATTGCTTCCGCAGCAAATATCGAAGCCTCCGTAGCATAGTGGTATTGCGTTCGCTTCGTAAGCGAAAGGCCGCGAGTTCGATCCTCGCCGGGGGCTTTATATTAATATGTAATAAATGTTTTCAACAATTATTTTATGGCAAATTACACCCACAACCCTAGGGTATACTTAAATAACTCTAAGGTCCATGTGGTATGGATAATTACAGTCATGCATTATCCAATTTATACTATTTAGTACCCAATATTTTATGTTATATTTTTATGCATAAAATTAAAACATTTTATTACTGCCTCCACAAAAATTCTCGTTGCCTCCGTAGCATAGTGGTATTGCGTTCGCTTCGTAAGCGAAAGGCCGCAAGTTCGATCCTCGCCAGGGGCTATTTATTCTTGAAATATAATCTTTTGACAAATATAGTTTTTTTAATAGCAAGAATCACAATCAACTACAGTGTTATTATTACTTGTTACAATTGACCCCCATTATTCCCTCTTTTGGCCATTTGATCCAATAAATAACCACAATAATCAGAAAGTGTAAATTCATAACAGTAACTAAAACACTTGCTCACTCAATTCTTTCCAAGTTATAGCTCACCATTTGCTCAAGCACCGATCTAAACGAACTAATCGGCAAGCACCGCAAATTCTCGAACGCTCGATCCGCTTTCTCCCTCGCAAGCTCCCTCGCCCTTTCAATCCCTCCGCATTTCTCGACAATACCAACCGCCTTCTCGAGTGAACCGCTCTCGCAAAACTCCGACTCAATAATACCCCTCAATTCCGGTTCTCCCTCCAGTGCAAATATCACCGGTGCCGTCAAGTTCCCTTTAGCCAAGTCACTACCGGTGGGCTTCCCCAGCTGCAGGGGCGTTTGCGTAAAATCCAATATATCGTCCACTATTTGAAACGACAGCCCCAAATTGTAACCGTACTGATTCATTTGCTCAATGATGTCACTGTGGACCCCGCTGAATATGGCGGCTCCTTTTGTGCTGGCGGCGATTAATGAGGCTGTTTTGTAGTAGCTCTTTGTTAAGTACTCGTCCAGGTTTACGTCGCAGTCGAACAGGGACGAGGCTTGCCTTATTTCACCGCTAGCGAAATCTTTAATCACCTGCCGAATTAATTAACACGTTTACATTGATATGTTTCAAAATCGATTTGGTGTATGTATATGTTTTATATGTATGTACCTGACTAATGAGCTTTATGACTTGGATATTTTCGAGATTCGCCATGTACCATGATGACTGTGCAAACATGAAATCCCCGGCCAGAACCGCGACTCTCGTGCCGTATAATTGGTGGACGGTTTTCTTTCCTGATCGAAATTATACACACGAATTTTATTTAATTTTTTTAAAAATAATCTAATGTTCTTGGTAAGTAGTGTTGGAAATGGGAAATAAAATTTACCTCTCCTCGTGTCGCTTTCATCTAATACATCGTCGTGTATCAAACTTGCGGTGTGGATCATTTCGATGATCTCAGCCAATCTTCTATGTTCTTGAGTCAGTTCCCTGATTAATCGAGAAGTCGATACATTAATCAAAATATAAATATTTTTTGTTTATCGAAAAACGTTACAAAAACCGAGTATCGAAAGTATATGTATATATATTGAATGCTCACTTCAAACCAGAAATCTCGGCGGTGGCTCTCGACACTAGAAAAACTAGAGCAGGTCTCATTCTTTTCCCACCAGCTCCAAATATTTGCTCTGCTGCTGACATTAGAACCGGATTTTCCGACCCGACAATCTGCCAATGAATTTCTTCTGTTATTAGAAAATTACAGACATACATTTTTCTTACGCAGGCAAACGGATGGAAACTGGAATCGAATTTTTTTTCCATCGATTCCGGTCCGAAACTTTTCCGATTTTGGAGCTTTTTTTTCATTCCGAAATTCCAATTTCCAATGTTTCTAAAATTATTTGGATCGGAATTGGAATATGTATGAGGTTCCGATTCCCGATCGGATTTTAAGTTCTGAAAATAATATTGAAACTTCTGATTTTTCTTGGGAATATTACACTTAAAATATCAATATATTTTATATTTTAGGTGACAAAAAGTCGGAAATCGGAACAAGTTATTCATTCCAATTTCCGATATTTTTTTTGGAACGGAATTGTAATAGTTTCACATCCGAAAAAATCGTTTTTTTTTCCAGAAAAGGGCTAATTACGATCCGATCCGTCCGATTTACACCCCTAAAGGCATAAATCATTGCACAATCCTTCATTTTTTTCATCAGAAACAATAACAACAGCTATAACAAAATGTATCGATTGATCAAGAAAATATATATATATACTCACGGATAGTAGATTCTTGTTCAGTGTTAGGAGGTCTTCCGCAACCACGTCAAACATATCGGACAGGTTATAAGTGCTTTTCGACTCTTTTGTACTCAAATCCAGCTCCGCCGAACGACCAGCTCCTACCCCTATTATGCCACAACATAGACGAATCAAAACCTTAGAAAACACATATATGGTTGGCTGTAGGTTCCTTCATTATTAAAAAAAATAAATAATAGATAAAACCTTAACTTTCGAAGCTATAACTAGGGGATCGAGATAAACGAATCGAGTCGAGCTGAACCATGGTTTTGTTTGAATTTTTAACGAGCTTTTAAAGAGTCGAGGTCGAACAAACGTTAATCGAGTTAAACACGAATCGAGTATCAAGTTTTTTTTTTGTAACTTTTCTAACCGAGCCCGAGCTCGAGCTCAAACTAAGCCTTTTTATAGGTTATTCAACGAAAATAAGTGAAAAATAAACGAGCTTTTAGTTAAGAGTATCGAGTAGTTTGGTTTGATTTTCAGACAGTAGCTATAACCGCCGAATAACTTAAGAAAGTAAGAATTATATTGGAGTAAAAACATTTGTGAATATATATATATATATTACCATGGAGGAAAGCTTCTGGGGTCTTTGTCGGAAAAATGCAGGTCCGGCTTATTTCCGGCCGGCAAGAAGACAACTTGAGAAATCCATAGGCAAAATGTGTTACAGAGTCAAACTTTGTTGTTCTTCGAAAGTCAACATTGATACCACATTTCATTGACATCGTCGTCATCCTCAAAAACTGAACGATTTTTTCTTTTTCTTTTGTTTCAGAAGAAGCAGTACTGAGTGAAATGCCAAAACTAATTAATTTATTTTCTTGTTTTGAAAAGCGAATTTCTGTAAAAGGGCCGACCGACAATCAAGCGGATTGGGTGCAATCATGCAATAGATTGGTTCTGTAGGCTCTTGTTTGCAAGGAATTTAAGTCAACTGTGTGTGAAGCTGCGGGTTGACCAATTTGTGATCCTATTTAGAGATCTGTGTCTGTTTTTCAAAAATAAAATAAAATATAATAATAATAAAATTGTTGTAAAATGGCCTATTTAATCTAGCTCTTTGGTTTGTGATTGTGGAAATACATACGAACATAATAACAATAATAGAGAGAGAATGAGAGAACACAAGTAAACAAGATCCGTAGAGAGAAAATTGTGGGATCCGTGGGGAGGGAGTGTTTCTCATTTATATAGGTGGTAACCACCGGGAAGTTACAAAGGAGTTACAGGTGGAAGTTACGTAGAAGTTACATTGCCACTAACACCATATAATAGATATGGGAAGTTAATAAACTAGTGGGAAGTTGATAACCATCAAGTGGTTATGTTAGGAAACCACACATTCCATACTATTTACAACACTCCCCCTTGGGTTCCTATCAAACCACTATTGTGCTTTTTGTATTGCCTCGTTAAAACCTTCCGAGATATAAAACCCATTGGAAAAAAAACAACCTCGGTTAGGAAAAAGAGTACAACGCACAATCTTTCAATCAACATATGTTGCCTCATTAAAACCTTGTCGAGTAACAAAAACCCTGTGGGAAAAATAAACCTCGCACGAAGGAAAAAGAGTACAACAGGGCATCCGGGTATCTTCTAGATACTGAGTACCAACAGGGTACTCCCCCTCAAGTTAACTCCCCCTAATGTCTACATGGGAGCGAGTTCGTATAATCTACGCAAGTCAATAGCCTTAACATGGTTTTTCAAAGTAATTTTAGGCGAAAACTTAGTTTATTAGTTTGCGTAATTATCTTGAATCATGATCTGCTGGATCATTATTGTTTGAGCTCTTATTGTTGTTGATTGAAGAAAACCTCATAACTATGTTCTTGGATTTGTCACAATTATTGAAACATGTCTTCATTTGCTCAATGCATGTTGCATTATAGTCAAGTACAATTTCGTAGGATCTTCTGTGGTAGCCAATTCACAAAAATCTCGAACATGCCTAATCATGGCTTCAGGCCATGTGCAATCACTCACTATCTCGTGAAGCAAACATCATACATGATTTGACCTAGTGACAACTAAAGTACATTTCATAGAACCCCAAGACATAGCTGTTTTCCCAATACTAAACCATAGATTGGGAATGATCTTTGTGTGGATATGACTTCTAGTCAATGCCAATATAAATCACAAGTTTTCGCATCATTCATTGATGTATAGGGGTGTCGGTAAGGTGAGATAAGTCCACCTAATAAATTTACCGAAAAAAGCTAAATCATATCGAGTACATGGAGTTAAGCATAATAATGCATATATTGCATTTACATATGGCACTTCTGGTGCTAACACTTCCTCGTCTTTCTCCATAGGACGGAATGAATCATTGGACCTATTCCACTTTCCAACTCCCATAGGTGTTACTCGATAATATATCTTTATCCATAACATCTTCTGGATGTAATTCGATTGATGGACATAAATATAATTGACATGATAAATTTTAAGTTGGTAGAGACAACAAATTAGTCTCATTTAGATCTTTGATCTTGAACTCAAATTTTCAACAATTGAGTTTTTCTTACTTGACTTCTAGTCTAAATCAAGTTTATGTCATTTATATAAATTGTAGTAATATGAACAATCAAAACAAGTTATTGTTCACATATTCTCTTCCGAGCAATTGTTCACTTAGGCAATTGTCCTATATTCTTCTGGAATATTTCTAGTCATAATTAAAGTGAACGTCTCAGCCCAACTGAGTTTATGTTCCGTGATCTGGAACTAATTGCTTCGGGAAATCGAAGTCCTTCTGGAACTTTCATATAAATACTTGTATCTAGATTCTCAGTAGATACTTTGTGACCACGTATTTAATAACATTCACCATGAAAGAGTATACCTCTTTAAAATCAATCTCTGGATGCTGAGGAATTCTTGAATTATGAGATGAGTCTTCAAGCTCCCAATCTCATTTGCCCATAAATCATTATACTATGCGATGAGTCTTCTGGCTCCAAATCTCGTTCGAGCTATGAGATGAGTCTTCTGGCTCCCAATCTCATTTAAGCTATGAGATGAATCTTCAGGTTCCCAATCTCATTTGAGCTATGAGATGAATCTTCTGGTTCCCAATCTCATTTGAGATATGAGATGAATCTTCTGGTTCCCAATCTCATTTCATTGATTGGGCTATGAGATGAGTCTCCCGGCTCCCAATCTCGTTTAAGCTATGAGATGAATCTTCTAGTTCCCAATCTCATTTGAGCTATGAGATGAATCTTCTGGTTCACAATCTCATTTCATTCCTTGAGCTATGAGATGAGTCTCCTGGCTCCCAATCTCGTTTAAGCTATGAGATGAATCTTCTGGTTCCCAATCTCATTTGAGCTATGAGATGAATCTTCTGGTTCCCAATCTCATTTCATTCCTTTGTGAGTACTCACTTATATTCCATGGGTGAAATTCAAGGAGTTGTAGGAACTATTGGTCTCTACACTCTTCATTTTATCAAGGAATCAAATTCAGCTCGTATTGTTTATTTTCTCATTTCGGCGGACCATCCCTTTGTTTACACTTATTTGATCAAGGTTATATATCATCACCCAATAAAAAGTTCAGTAGCTACTGTGTAAGGAAATTTGTCATCGATGATCATTTCAGTCTGATACAACATCTCATTTGCATGAATAACTAACTGAGATTTTCCTATTCTCGGGAATGGATATTGATGTCGAGGCGTCCCCCGACTTCGTCTCCTAGACGAATCCATATTCTAGAATTGTTTTATGAGATGGATCAGGTGGGATCCCATTGGTACTTGTGCTAACCGGATTCGATGTTGGGCATTATTCTCTTCTGGAGATGAGAATCCTTTGATCCCATTGCTCTCCCCCTCTTCTAGGCAGGGAGGCAAGATTGGTTAGCAGGGATTGATGGCCTACCCATATTTTATCCTTCTAGGACATCTGTCATTGCCGGCTTATTTGAGATCTCGTCACTTTTTCAAATCAGAGAATAAGTCTAGCATTATTCGTTCTACACGACTTCATATTTTTCTGTAGGAACATTAGTATAGACGTTCGTTGCAGATTTCTAAGTCGTCGCATACGACTTGACGCCGTTCTTCGGGAACGTTACGATGCACATTACTTGCAAATCTATATTATCATCCCACACGACTTCACGTCGTTCTTCAGGAACGTTAGTATGGATGATCTATTAATCTATGTATCAATTCTCTGATATAGGGGATCTTGATGAGACATTGTGGGGTCGTCCCATACGATTTCACGCCGTTCTTCAGGAACGGTAGTGTGGACGTTCTTTCCTCCCCCTAACGGCGGGAAGACAGTCCCATCAAAGTGATAGTCCGCAATTTGAGCGGGTAAGAGATCGTCTGTCTAAGGTTCTAAATTTTAGTTGAAGATGGTGATACATAGTCCACATATATCTCATTGGATTACCTCCAAGAAATGAATTGAATCATTACATGTATGTGCGTATGCTGACATATAATCAAATTACTTAACTTCGACAATCGACAACTTATGCTTCTGGCATACAAATTGTTGTTCTATATAACCGTGTTTGAAAATTCCTCTAATTTTCCCAATGTACGCTTCTGGCCGTACACGTTAGAGATGATGCACATATCAATTTCTTGTGTTCAATGGTTTCAACAAAATAACCATTAGCTCAAATATTTTTAAAGTTTAACAACGTTCTACTGGAACGTGGAGAAAAAATGAGCTACTTTAATGGGCAAAATTGTGCCATGAGATACATAATTTGGACATTATCATAACCATCTATCAAAACTACATGTGCCTCATTTAGTTATCAAAGAGGTCTTGCTACAAATAGACATGAAATTAATTAAGTACGACATATCTCTCAGGATAGTATGTGTTGTCGCACTATCTGCCAGACATTTATTCCCACATGTCATGTCTATAGAGTTATATAAATCTAATCATATATATTCAGTACTTCAGGTACTAAATAAATTCATCAAGCAAACACCACTGAATAACATAATAATTAACTTAGATCATAAATATCTGGTCTAGAGCATAAACTAGACATAATCAAAATATGAATATGGTTCCTAACATGAGCATATGAAGTAAGATGATTGAAATTCAATAAACTAATAAACCCGAGTAATAAAATAAAAATAATTCATGAAATCAACAGTTCAATCATATCCTAACATGGGTTATTTGGTCAGATGTGCCCAAGTATGGAAGCTGAGCGATGGACTATATATTGAAAAAAAATTACCTCTACTAACTCAGTCTATACTGGTGCATTATTATTTGCATCTCCAGCCCCAATGTTCCTCGCACTTCAGGTGCGCGACCAATTCTTAGATCCACCATATATAAAACATATATCTATGTTCTGATTTTGAGCTTTATTCGGATTTTAAAATTCATATACAAATTGTTTATGAATTCACTTGTTCCTTGCTTCCGGCAAGTGTATTGTCTTTTGGTAATCAAAACGACTAGTTAGGGTATCCCATTCTTTATGGGGACCCTCGTTTGATGAATAGTCCAGACGAAGGACTTCATCTAATTATCTCGTAATCAGAAACATAGTCTCAGCCTTCTGGGCTTACCTAATAAATTATTCTCGAAAACAATCATTCTCACTTGCTCACTAAGCGTATGGATCTTAACATCCATTCTCCAACAAAACTTTCACCAAATACATTAAGTTGGGTAAACTCGAGTTTGCTCATGTGTTTCATCTCAAATCAAATAGAATAAGGAGTATTATTGTTTTATGGGA